AGGGTCCGAAACTTTTTTTACTTTTAAATAATAATGTCGATCATTTCTAAATTCTAATTTTAGATTTTTCGACTGATGTTACACAAGAAATGAGAAATTTTTGACGGCCTTATTGCTTGCTTTTGTTAATAAGATAATCGACTATAAAAATTTAACCGAATAAAGTTCATAGATCATATAATAATATGAATCAAAAATCTCAATTTTGGTTGGTGGGTCCCGTAAGGTGATTTTAATAGCTTAGCTCCCATTTGTACTTCGACACGTCAAATTTTCAAAATATGAGGCTCGTCTAGTTCCTGATTAATATAATGTATTTTTTTTCTTTATAAACGAACTAAAATGTATTTTATTTGCGTCGGGATTTATTTTTCCGATTATTTAAATTTTACTACTTTGATTTTATGTATATTTAGTCTTCTTCCAGGAATTATCGATGGAATAAATAGTAAGTGGTTTGTTATTTCTTTTTTTATTATTTAGATTCGATTATTTGATTGCTGTATCGATAAAATAAAAGGTAGGTCATTTATCTTTATTACTATTATTTTTTTTATTTTGAGATTTCTCTTTCGGGTTTGATCGCTTCGAGGGTTGCTACATCGAACACATAATTGACAGCCAATTAAAGTAAAATCTTGGATAAATAAATTTAGTAAACAATTATAACAAATAGTATCGTTAATGAATATTAAATAGGTGTGGAATAATGCAACTGTTAATAAGGTAACCAACTAACACTCTCACGCGTAAGAGATCTAATAGATAATGTATTTGTATTTATTTCTACAATTATCCTAAAACAGCGTCAAAATGAGAGCCAAGGAGAGTAACGCAAATATCCTTTGTTACCACTTCAAAATTTCTTTGACTTTTCTGTTTATCCTTTGTAGGTCCTCTATTAATTGAAGAGGGAGATATTATCGTCATCCTTAAAAAGGGAAATAAAATTAAATGACATAATTATTTCCGTTTTTATTAAGGAAAGAAAAAAAATATACAATTATAACCGGTCAAGTACATACTATTTTTAAAATAAAAATTGATTTATTGTTATTAAGCAGTTCGCCAGTTTGTATACGATTCTTTTACAATTATTACCTGAAATGTGAAACTTATCACGAACCTTCTTGTTATATATGAGACTTTAACTCACAATTTTGCACCAATCGAATAAATTGACTTGTTCAAAGACGAAACTATATATCACAAAATGATTTGTGTCCCACAATTATAATTGCATGTAGTCATACGAAAGGGAAAGAAATTATTATTAAAATAAAAGCTTAATTTGGTGAGTGAGTATTATGTGTTTTGTTATCTCAATGTTTATTGTTACTCAAAAATTGTTTTTATTATTAATTATTTTATTTTATTTTATTTAATTTATTAATTACAACTTATTAACTGATTTTTTTCTCAATCTATCGTCAGCGTAATTAACATCAATACAGTATAACAATTATTCATATGTTAATAAATCAAAAGATAAATTCATGAATAAGATGTAATCTATGGATTTTTGAAATAAAAATTGTCTAATGATAAGTCTCGCAAACATTAATTAAGGAAATTTATAAAGTACTATCAAAATATTAATTTAAATAATGTATTATTTTCATGAAAAATAGCAAAGTCTGACGAAATTTGAAGTTGCATGGATATGTTTATGGCTTTCAAGCAATTTTACGATCATTTATTATACAGCGTTATTGCTAGTATATTTTCTTTATCATATGAACCTATAACGTACTTGTTTTGAAATTTATTTTTTCATTCCATTTCAATGGTTCTTAAGCAAATTATTCTTAACCGTTGTTTTAAATATTACAATATTTCTTATATTTTATTCCTTTCATCACTTGTTCAACATAATTTATCCCTTAAGAATTTGGTATGATAGTAAAGAAATTTGGTTTGCGAAATTGGTATTTTAAGAACATACCAAAATAATAATAAATATAGATCTGAAAAAAAATATACCTATATTTATTCAACGCAGCAGTCCGAATGCAATCAAAAATCCTTAGTAAAGAATAAATCTTAAGAAAATATAAAATAAAATAAAATATGGATTTGCCCGAATGCTATAGAAAATTAAAGAAAAGAATAAATTAAATTACAATTAAAAAAAATAAAATATCTACATTCATTTAAGTTTGCATAGATGTAATTTATATATCAGAAAATCAATCGGGATTTTGATGTCATTTGGGATAATGTAATTTTGGGAAAAAGTGAATTTCAAGGGATAAAAGTTATCAGTTATTTGAATTCGGGATTATGTACATTCGGGATTTTGAGCTTCGGGAATTTCGTTCACTCCAATTCATAATTTATAAAATAGATTGTTTCTAATGAATCACAAAAAAATTTTGTCCATTCGATATCACTAATGGAAATGCAGTTAATATTTGTGTTTAATGCCATTCATATTCAAAATATGTTTACTTCTAACGGTCGTTTATTTAAAAAAAAAAAAAATAACGAGTAACATTTTCGAAAGTTCATATTATTTACTAAAACATTTTAGTAACTGCCGGAGACCTTTGGTGGGGTTTATATAATTTATTCAAAAATTCTTTCGTTTAAAACTAATCCAAGCAACAATATGCTTTAGTATATAATCATGATATTTTAAAACATTGATTACCTTTACAACTTGTAAAGAAAAACTTTTGTTTATAAATTCGGTTTTCATTCCTATACGAACTGGATATATAAAAATAGCTTGCTGAAACAAACAAAAACTATTTTTTTATCTGAACTCTATTCTTTATGAGTTGGTATTTTCCACCAATTGCGATAGTACAAATGAGATATAATAGTTCCTCTCAAAACATAACTTCCCGTTAAAATTTTTGTCAAAATCTGGAATTACAAAATGTAGTACGAGTTTATAACCTTATATATTGAAGTACGTGTGAACTGCCTGTCCTTAGTTAAATTGTAACTTTCCAAATTAATAATTTTTTAATTCACACCTTAAATTTATAACCAATGAACTGGTAAAGTTTATTAAATAAAAAGAAAAGAAGCTTGATAATACATATTTTATTCAAGAAGTTTATATATTGATAGAATAATTAATTAATCGAAATTTAAAGCTGATTGAGATTGGGTAAATAAAAAAAAATTTAAAATAAATGTTTTTCATAAGTATTATTCAAATAATTTCATTCGGCTGGATAAATCATACATTTAGCATTAATTTAAATTAATTAGCGCTTATTCAAAGGGGTAGGGAAGAATTGGGAACTAAATTTAATTGGCGATTTGAAATACAATAGTTATACAAGAATTTATGAAATGTCATTACTTAATGAGTTCAATGCACCACTAAAAAGAAATGAGAATAAATTCATGTATACTTATTTCAGCAATTTAATAAATTAAATAACCAAATTGAATCCTGCGCGTACCTCATAATTGTAATTATATTGTATTTCGCTATGACAAGCAACTTCCTGAAATGTATCAAATCCAATAGTAAAATGAAAATCATGACTACGTAAATATACTTGATTTATACTAAGATAAATGACATCATTAGATTTCAAATATCCTAGACAATCTGCTAATTTACGATTAATAAACTTCCATTGATTATAATGTTGGTTGGGATTTTTTGAATTACAACTTACTAAATAAATAATACATCAATATTAAATCTTCTTTAAATAAAATATAACAAAAATTAATAAATACCTTCGATGTTCTGAGTTACTGGAGAAATATTATTTTCATTAACTCCAAGAAAGATATTAGAATTTTTGTGTAATAAAGAAATATAATTTTCGGTGTATGAAGCTAGTTCTTTACAGCTCGCAAATGTGATTTTCCATAAAGCATTCGAATCAAGCAAATTGTTCGCAAAAACCTAGATATATTAAAATTTATTAAAGGTTAATAATAAAAAAAAATTATCATACAAAATATTTATAAGATGGAATACCAATTGAGACTTGCTTCCAGTCTTATAAAATGAATTGTTAATTGAACTTAGATATTTTCTTGTAGAAACGTGTTTTAAAGCTACAATAGAACCATTTCTGATTAAATTTGAATCATCCATAACAATTTCCTCAAATTCTTTAATTAATTCATTCATAGTTTTAATATTTTTATTTCGCCATAAAAATTCAGTTATAAAATAATCATTTGGAAGAGAAAGAAGTAGGTATTTATTTTGTTTCTCAATATCGTTAATTTCAGCATTGTAACATAATTTGCGAAAATTTGAAATAAATTTTGAAGTTTCTCCGCCCTCCCTTTCAGGAACGTATTTTAGTAATCGCAATTTCCTTAAATTTGTATTTTTGAATACTGTAAAGGAAATGTCATCCTTAAGTGCGCTACAAAGTTTTTCAAAACTATTAATTCTACTTGGAAGTTTGATAATAGGGTCTACTAATGGTATTGCATAATGCAAATATTCATTTTCTTCAATATTTTCTTTTCTATAATAATTATGAATATCATTTATCCATTCATCTGGGTGAATATTCCCATCATATTTTGGAATATACATTTTTTTTTTTTGTAAAAAAATTTTTTGCATAACTTCCGGTATTTCCATTTATAATCGTTCAGAATAATAATGTATTGCCAAATGCGGAAACAATAAAAAATTGTTCCCTATTGTAGAAGCTTAGCTGAAATATTTGCATCACCATTGCGTCATTCCGCACGTGATCTGTAATTTTTGACATAAATTATGATGTAATTGTTGGATCAATAAAATATGTAAACACAAACATTGTATTTCAAATATCCTTGACAAAAACCTATAAATGTTACAATTCGTCTTCTAATAAGTTTGTATAAATTTTCTATCCATTAGGTTTTTTAAAAGTATAATTCGCCTAAAAATAAAGATTTGTTAAAGTCAACAAATTTCCTTTTATTCGTGGTTCTTAAAAATGGTTCTTACATATTTTTTTAAAAAAATTTAGTATAATTGATGAGAAAGAGAATGATAATGAAATTCTTTTCATAATTTTAAGTCATAGTTATTGTGCTTGCGTTGATAATTCGTAATAATGATCGGTCAAATTTAGCCACTACGTGTCTAGTTCTAACTGAATCGGACAATAATTAAACTTGTAATTATGAAGTAATATTGACGGTAAATTTATTTAATAATATCAAAACAATCATCAATGTTGCCTCAACGTCGGCGCTCTATACTTTAGCAATGTCAATACCAATCAATAAATTAAAACTGCGCAATTACGAAAAATTGAATAATAAAATAATAAGATCGGAAATTAATATGTTTAAAACGGGCGAAAGCGAAATTATCATGAAGGGGTTAAAGGAAGGTTTTCAAGTTGTATGTATGCAAAATATAATAAGGACGAGCGTAGAATGTTAAGTTGTTTAAGGATTTCAGGCTTGTATTTATAAAAAATAATTATTAGGCCCTGGCAAATGACTCCAAAGGACTAACTGCAAATACTTCGTAGATGACCTATATTTCATGTTGTTGCCGTTTAGCAAGTTGAATAGAATTACAATGTCAAGGTTATACCTTCTCTACAAACTTTACATTTGGTATATTGTCAAATTTTATTAATAAGTAACGGTAATTCTTCTATTTTAGTGAAGAACCTATTTACCAGTTTAATTCTACATATGCTCGAAACATGTTTATCTCCTTATATAGTTATCCCTGAGGGAATTTTCTTTCAACTTGGTAGCATGATGGAATAGGACACCATCACAGGTTACTGCTATCCATTTACGACTTACCAAAATATCTTTCATTATGAAGAAAAACCTTTCAATATTTGCAATTGAATTAGGATTAATATTAACAGGATCAGTAACATATATCTTCGGAACATTAACTCTTTAATCACAATTTCCGCTCTGCCCAATCCGATACGTCTCGTTTCATTACTTGGACATCCAAGTAGAACATCAAATATCGCCATAATTTTTTTAACATCTCTAGAGAATTGAGATATATCTCCATGTTGGTGAAATAAATATGTGCAACCTAAGAACGACAATCTCTTTGTATAAAAGATCCACCATTGAAAATTCGTATAGATATCTTTAAAGATCCTTGTTTAAGGACTGTTTCAAGAATTTATTTGGATAAAAGCGGTCCTTGCGCTCCTCGGTTCATATTTTGAGGACCGGTCCGGACCAGTCCTTTATTATTTTATGAATTAAGTTTTAATTTTATAAAATACTATTTAAATTTTTTATAATAAAAAAATTCCTTCCGGGTCGGTACATTCCTCGTCCTAAATTTATTGTAGTTTAATTGTGGACCTATTCATAAGTTCGGTCCTTGAGTCGGTTTCTACAACTTATTGCATATATTACAAAACTATAATATCCGAAATGAAAATGTCAGAAATGGAGAAATTTAGAAGGCGAATCTACCGTTTGCATACAATTATTATTATTATTATTGTACTTTTTATCATTTGCTTTATTAAATTTATATATTTTAAATATTTAAAATAAAATACATCTTGTGAATGTGATGAATATTTTTTTTTTCTAATATGGTTCAAACCGGTCCTTGGACCTGTCTTATAAATCGGTCTGGACCTAGAAAGAAACTAATTTTGTACCGGACCGATCCAATCTAGATAAAATACTTCATATAATTAATTACTTTCTCCCAAATAATAAAACAATGATTTATTGTTTTTAAATATTAAAATAAATTCTTCTCTGTCGTACTAATAAATCGCTTAATATGAAGGAACTAACTTATATTTCTTGTAGGTCATAACTTGTAAAGGTTTTAATTATCCGACATTAATATATACTACATTTCGAGTTATGTAATGTAACAACGATGATTTTTTACTATTAGTTTCAATAGCTTCATTTTTCAGCGATCTATTTTTGCATTGTTTATTTTAGTTTTAGGTTACTATCTTATGTTTCGATCGCGTTTATTAATTAAACAATAGCAATTTTTGATTTGATTTTTCATTTTTTTGTATATATTTATATTCTTATTTGGTTTTCATCTAAAATGTTTGTTAAAGAATTATATTGGCTTTCAATTATTCTAAAAAATAAAGGTAATGTTCTAAACATTCAAATCCGTTCAAGTATTTATCGTAAAATCCACTAGTTAATTTTGAATATGTGATCAATTAATCAATTACAACAAACAATTTTTGAAACATGATATTTTATGTTCAGATCAGTTACATCAGCATTAATTACCGGAGGTTGGTACCGGCCAAAAATTCGTTAACCGGTTAATTAACCGGTTACAATTAACTTAGGCTAGTACTATAAATTTGGCTGGATTTAGACAATATTTTTGCAATCATATCATAAAAATCTTAATTATGGCCGGAAATTGTATTTCGACCGGAGTTAAATTCATCTATTTTAACCGGTTAATAAAAATCATTAACAGGTTAACATGTCATGTTAACCCTTTAACCGGTCAATTAACCGGTTAATAATTAACCGGTTCCAATCTCTAAAATGAACTGCCCTGCCTACATATACTAAAAGCTATTCTTCTTTATAAATATATTAAGTTCCAATTCAAGATGTAGGATTACAATATGTTCGATTTGATTATTTTAAGATATGCGGCGGCATAAGCGTCTTAGAATATTAATTGAATATTGAATTTTATAAATATATATATAAATCATATATAAATGTCTATGTTTAATGCAAATTTAATTAATAACCATTAGGATGTCACCATAAATTGTCGGTTAATAAAGAACACGTAAAAACATGTGGGAGGTTTGCTATTAAAATAAAATTACGAACTTAGAAAATCATATGATCCGTAAAGTGATTTTAATGGCAAACCTACCGTATATCTAAAACATTGAATCTAATTTAATCACCTATAAAACATAGTATTTAGCCAATTATAAATTATATGATTCTAAAGTCTACTTTCAATTTGTTTTGGTACAGTTTATAACTAAATATTCCAATTGCTAGTAAGAAAGTGAAGCCGAAAATTCCACTTAATGTACCAATTATAATTTTATATTTTTGATTTGGTTTTGGTTTAGGAGGATTTGATATCGGAGTAGGTTCGGGTTCAAATTTATCGACCCAAGTGTAGTTTCTAGTATCTAACAAATAAATTCTTGAATTCGATCCTAACGGAGAAGCATTTGGTTGAGTAATATTTCCTAAAAAAAATCAATATATTTATTACGTTAGCTTTTAAAAATTAAAATGATATATTATAGCAAAAACATTTTCTTTTTGTTTTACCAAAAGCAACAATCATATAATTTTCAAATATATTTGCTGTATGAGATGTAAGCGACGGAACATCAATAAAATTTGATGACACTTGCGGGATAGTCCATTCAAATGGATATGTATTTAGAACTGCCAAATCTGGAGAAACCTTGACATTTTTCGATAAATCATCAATATGTTTAGATCCTCCATAAATTATGATTTTTCCATTATTTTCATCAGAAACTAATAGCAATATATGTTTAGACTAATTAATATTTATCTTTTCGTAAAAAAAAAAAGAAAGTTTTTATACCGAGTACGGCCGAGTGTAAAAAGCGGGATTCGATTTGATCGTCACTTTTCGCATGCTTAATAAATTGAATTAAATTTTATTAAATTAAACTTCATCAAAGGAGTTCATAATAATACGGACAACGTACCACTATAGACCAAGATGATAACATGGTGTCGTAAAGGTGAATTCGATTAAGATCTGCAAGAGTAGCAACAGTATTTTTACCATCATTAAAAATCTCACGACCTCCAATATATACAATAACCCCATTTGACAATAAAGTCGCGGTATCACCAATTCGAGCATTGGGAGCATTGTCAATAGGGCCATAAGACCATGTAAATTCTTTAGTATTTAATATTGCCATATCATTGACATGATCTTCGGAATATCCACCAAAAGCATAAATTTTTCCAAAATTATCGGCAACGATTTGAAATACATAACGTCGTTCTGGCATTTTTCCTTGAATTAAAGGTACTTTCCAATGTCCTGATTTTAGATCAAATTCATATACTAGCGTAGTTACATTTTTCTCTTTCAAAAATCCTCCAACGAGGTAAATACTATTATTAGTTAATGCAGTAGATGCCCAACAATTTGAAAATCCTAATCCTGAATTTGATGTAAGGTCCGTCCATGGCGGAGTCTCTACATTAAATTGCTGAGATAAATCAAGATAGAATACCTCATTTGAACATCCTTTAATAACTCCGCCAAAAAAATAAAGCTTATTTTCAACAAGGACGGTAGAGTGAGCAATACGTCCTAAAGGAGTAAATGACTCAACTCTAAGGAACAAATAACATAATATGAATAATAGAAACTTATATTTCTTGCAAGTCATAATTTCAATTGTAATAATTAAATAAAATGAATTAAATAAATGTGAATTTTATAATTACAGAATTCCCTTTCCGCACCGGTACCTATAAATAATATTTATCGGTTCAAGGTAATGCCTGGCAGATCCAAATTACCATTGTGAAAATAGGCTGATCTGGATGTTGATCGTTCGATATTGCCTCTTTTAAAATTAAAAAATTTTTTTTTTTTTGTGGTTTATCATTAGTTAATTACTTTGATATATTTTAAAAAGTTTGTTTTTTAAAGGTTTATTTTTACATATATAATATTATTTCTGAGATTTTAAATAAAATCTATTTTTTTGTCTTTGCATTATAACTATCTTGGATGATCATTTTAACCTTAGAAAGTCCCTTTCTCCTGATGAAATTATACATAAAATACGTCCATTTACTATTTTGATCTCCACCTTTATACGAACGAACGTTCTTGCAAGTGACGAAAAATAGACAACATTTTCGATGATGGTTACACAAATTTAATTCAATGTAACGAAGGAAAATTTTTAATCAGATTCGTATATTCCTAAGTATTAAAATATATATAAATCATTAAAGAGGTTAGCCTAATTAATTAATGTTTTATAAAATTAAACAAAATAAATAAATATATTTGATCTTTAATAATGTTGTCTTCTAATATCTTGATTTTTATTGATCGAAGTATCACGCGCATTATTCAAAAATTAAAATAAACAAATTTTCTTTAATCTTAAAACATTTAATTAGTTGAAACTTAATAACTTTTCGTTTCAAATTATACTCCTATTCTGAACAACGTTCAAATCATGATTTGAAGCCTCAATATGTATGCATTGAAACGTTTGCAATTCAGCTTGCTCGTTCTTGCTTGATAAATAAGGTTTATAATTGTCCACATGTGCGAACTTGATCATAATGCTTCCTCAACTTGTTCATTTGGTTCTTTTCGGAATGTTTACCAATGTTTCATTGAATTTATTTATGAAAGAAAGAGATTTCATAGGTACCTTGGAACTCCTTCTCAAGTTTCATTTTTTAAATGTATTAATGAGAAAAATTCAAATATTAAAATAACGATACCTACTATAGCAGAAGTGGTTATAATGTGAAATGCTGTTCAATATTTTGAAGCAAAATTGCTTACATCTTAACGATGATGCTTCAATAATATTATTTAATTAATCGAGCGTCTGTTTGTGTCCTTACAGGTTCATGAAAATTCAATTTTCAGAGTTATTAATCATAAATATTAGTCGTGATGAGAGTGTACTAGTTGAAGAATGGAAAGCGCTGTCAGCAACTTTTGATTGATCAAATAAATTTTTCAAAAGTTTACATCCTGGAAAATTTAATATTTCAAGGAATAAAAGTAACTCGATTCCCATTGACGAGCGAGAACGTAAACGCCACCAAAAGACCTCTATTATGAAATGTTTACCTGAATCCAATAGCCCTTCTCAAATCTTGATGTCTCATTTTGACGAAAATTCTGGTTCCAGTGAGGAAAATCCAATATTGCATCTTGTTACCGCAGTATAAACGATTCAAAAAATTGTAGAAAATATCGTCGGATGATGCGCTTCCGAATATCATTAATTGATAATGACATCTTAATGCTTTATTACAGTCGTTGATGTCTTCCATTTAGAGTTAATGACATCAAGGTAAGGTAAGAGTAATTAAATTGCCAGCAAGATAATGATGTAGGAATACTACATCCTCGATGTAGCAACAGAATTGACAATAATCAATATCACTCAATCTACACACTTTAGAGAATCTTTAATAAAGTACGGCCACCAATATGGAAATCTGCTAGAGACAATCCTCTGTTTATGATATGATAATTTTTAAATTTATAAAAAATTATTTGGGAGGTTTGTTATTAAAAACACGTTAAGGATCATATGATTTACTATTCTCCTAACTCGATTTAATAGCAATCCTCCCATTTATTAAACATCGAAAAATAATTTAAGAGTTTTTAGACGTTATTTTCAAGTTTAGAATTATAGGAACGATTACGAACATTTTCATTTTTTAACATCATTTCATATTACTGAAGCTTCGGTGCCCTTTTACAATTTTTATCCTAACGCAGTTGCATGATTTATTATGTCAAAGGCAAAATTAATAAATTTTCATTAATAAATCTTATAAAAAACATTTTTTTGTCATATGAAGTTTAGATCATCCCCGATTAGAGCAATCTAGGATTGTAATTTCCGGGAGTGTTTTTTAATGATATGATACAATTATTACTTATTGCATAAGTTGGTGATTTCGAAGGACAAGCTGATATTAATGCATTTCATAATTTCATAAAGCAATTAATATCCAAATTTTTAGAATCACAAAATGGTTCTAAAATAAAAACAAAAGATTTTAGATTTATAAATTATAGCTCACTTCTAACGTTTACGGCCCGAGTAATTATTTTTGTAAATTATCTAAATTATTTATAAATTTGTAATAAATTTATATAATATACATTATATTAGAAAGTATTTAATAAAATTTAAACACTCAGCCATAAGAATAGTATAATACTAATATAAAATAATTTTTGTAATTATACAAATACTTTATAACTTATAATAATTTACATTCCTAATAAAGTCATGATAATGTTCAAATACAATGATTTATATATGTGTTTATAAAAATCATTATATTTTATCACTATTTTAAATTAATAAGTAAAGTTAATTAATAAGTAACATAAAATCAATTGGATATTCAGAAAACAGAATCGATTACTTTCTTGTTTAGGGATGCTAACGATCACAATCATGACCTTTATTGAGCTATTTTAACTATTTGTCATATGGTAAAGGGTATAAGAACTAGATTTAGAAATATCCGATCCGAATTTGATTTTATGTCATACCAGCTGGCTCTTCCAGAGATTTTTTATAATCATTTTTATTATTATTAATTTTTAATAATTGAATACTTATCTTCTAGACATTACTTAAGGTCAACCGGTTAATAGTAATATAAATATTACATTTATTGGCTTATAATCAATTCTATCATTCGATGAAGTGCAAAATATTTTTGAAATAAATTAATTTCAAGTAGTCATTCTTCAATATTACTTTAGTATACTTAATATGTCAACACTTTTAAACTTTTAACATAGAGCTGTAATAGAATGAACTTTATAAGCGCGTCGAAGTATAGTACATTCCTAGAGTCTAGCGTATTTCGTTTTCTTTATTTCACAAGTTCCATCATAGCGGCAACGGTTCCTCTATAAAAATTTTTTATAAAAAGATCGTACATCATTATCTTACGGCTAAAATGGACGATTTGATTAGATTATTTGTTAGGATACAATGTTTATAATAGAGATCAAACTCAATCCTTTTATAGAATTTTCACAAGATTGAATAACATATTCACGATCACCTTTTATATCAATAATTACTCCTTCTGGAGTTCTAACGATTCAAATTTTGAACGAAGAGACACTTGATTACGACGTCCTTTAACTTTTGATTAAAGTCAATTTAAAAGCTAGTGAAATTATTATTTTATTCTTTTTAATTTTGTCAAATTGAAAATAATATGATTGCACGTTCTAATTTCAGCAAAATATTTAGCAGAGAAACTATGAGACTAAGAGATGTAAAACTTGATTACAATCGAATTATAATATAACACTAACTCGAGTCAATATCTCCATTAACCAAATTAGGTAAATTTGTAATAATACTTTTATAATAAGAATTTATCTTATATATTGATCAAAATTATCAATTCACCATTGGCTGATTTATAAAAAAAAAAATTGAATCAAATGAAGTATTTTTTTTTAAATAATTTACCATCCACTTGAAAATATTATAACACCTCAATAGCAACTAAATAAGCCAGTCTGTGGGATTCTATTTTGTAGAATTGGTAAAACAATAAAAAATGTGAGCAATCTCGTTGATCATGAATTCGCATATTTCAAGTTGATCCGATGAAATAAAAATTAAAATCAGACACACGTTAATGTTAGAATGAAATGTATGTTTGACTTTGCATTTAATTTTTTTTTTTACAATGGATTTGAATATATTGAGTGAGATGATAAAAAAAAAAAATTCTGTTGTAAAATATAAATAAATGAAGTAAATGCTCCGAGATCGGTTCGGACAAGAATGATGACCGACTGTTCCGAGATCGACTTCAGTTATAACGTAACGAGAATAAAATATTTGACTAATTTAAATTTATAAAGTTAAAAAATATAAAAGAAAAGAAAATAATGCAATTCCGATAATGAAAATCGTAAAATTAAAAGGAGTTTGACAATTTTTTTGCTATTCATTTCTAAAATTTTAATGAAAAATAGAGATTTTCTTAGACGTTGAACAAAAAATAAAAAAGATTTGGATAGCAAATTGGACCATGCTATAAATGTCTATTAAGTAATTACACGATGAATCTTATTTCGACTACTTACATTACATACATGCAAAATATACTTATCCCAGATCTAGCTGCAAAGTATTGCAGTGAAGATAAAAACCAGGTTTTTCAAATTAAACAAACGAACATGTAGCCGAATGCAGCGTTTATATGACTGGTAATGAAGTTGGAACATATGCTAATTCTCTTCAGTTCGGTACAGGCAGCTCGTTCAGTTCTGAAGGTTATATTGAAAATGTTGCTATATATCACATGATTAATTCAGAAAACAAGCTATTCGATTATTGTGATAGTCACCTTCCGAGGGTTCCATGTTGCCCTTAGTGAGCTAAGTGTTAAAATGAAATTAAATATTCATAGCATAACGAAATTTATACTTCATGTGGTTATTTTTTTTATTTGAATAGTTGTAAAACTTACAAAATATTGTGCGAGCAAAGCTGTTCAAAAGGTTTAATGCTATGATAATAAAAATTTTACATAATTAAATAATGGTAAATATTAACGGAATTTTAATTTTTAAATAGGTTAATGTTAAACACAATATTTGACGAAGTTAATATTAACCGGATGGGGTGTTATCATTAACAGGGGGTGAAATTTAGCAACGCTGTTTATTTATATGCTACAATATGAACTTTATTTATAAGTCATTATGCTTTGCAATGATATTATCGTGTGATTTTATGATGTTGACTTAAAAATTTGAAGAGAAGTTCATTATCATTCTCTTTCTCGTCATTTATACTAAATTCTTTTAAAAAAATGGAAAACCTTTTTAAGAATCACGAAAAAAGGTAAATTTGTTTAGAGGTTGGAACCGGTTAATTTTTAACCGGTTAATGAATTTTATTTTAACCGGTTAAAATGATGAATTTAACTCCGGCCGAAATTCAATTTCCGGCCATAATTAAGATTTTTATGATATGACTAAATCCAGCCAAATTTATAGTACTAGCCTAAGTTAATTTTAACGGGTTAATTAACCGGTCAACAAATATTTTAACCGGTTATTAACCGGTTAAAGAATTTTTGGCCGGTTCACGCCTTTAAATTTGTTTACTTTTTTGTGATAAACTATATTTCAAGATATGGCAACTTTTTTAATGAGGATGCATCTCCAATTATTTTTTTTTTTATTATTCTTTTAAAAATATGTATAAAGTACAATAATAAATATATTTTTTGTCAACAATTACAGATACTAAATGATATTCCAAATTTAACAGTAAGGATTAAAAATTATTTGAAAAGTTACAGATATTCTATTCCGCATAATTGAATTGATATCGTGAAAAGTGAAAACAATAAATTCTCTAACCACTCGCTAGAAAAGTTTTTTTTTTGGATATCTATTAATTAGCCTCCTTAGAAAAATAATGACAAACCCAGGGAAAATTTATAAAACATTTTTATCTTTAAGCTTCTAAATTGACGAACATAAATTTAAAATCAAACTAAAAGTAAGCGATTGGATTTCTTGAAAACTTTTACAGTTGGCACAATTTTTTACAATTAATATTTTACAATTTATTAGTTTTAGTAACTTGTTTCTAATTTCAATATAATAAAATATATAAAAACAAGTATTATTTATAGTTTAAAATATTAAAAAACAAGATCGTCTACATCATATGGGTGAGCACGATAATGTGTCGTATAATTTAGATAATTAATATACATTCATAAGATGATGATATTGAAGAATAAATATCTATTTTGTTAAATTTAATTGAATAGTGGAGAAGGAGTTGCAATATACATTTAAATATTATTAATACCAATAATTCAGCATCCGTAATTATTCTAGTAATAAAAATTAAGTTTAATTTTATTTTACGTAATTATTTTTTTTAACTTCGAAAGAATCGAACAATTGAATACAATATAATACACCACATACTTTAAAGTTAATATTATGTACGTTGTACCACTTAGTGATTTATACTCGATATCTTTTTTAACACCGTATACCGTCTTGTCTTTGACGTTAATGGTGTTGAAAACACCACATTATACAATAATACTTCCGTAATACCGTGAATCTCAACTATTTTGAATCAGAAATAAATAAATAAAATAAAACAAAAATAAATTTATAAAACTTTAATAAA